TTATTCCCAAAACAAATAAGTTGTTAGAGAACTTTACAGTAACTAGATTTCAAATGCACTGTACATTTTAAAATTATAATTGGTATACTCCTTTTAAAGAGGTTTCAAGTGCAGTTACTCAGAAATGAGACAATAAAAATGATTCTTACAACACATCAGCTCTCTGTAGACATTGAGTCCCATCTGGTAGCTCTACTTCCAAAAGTACATTTTTTACTTTAAACAAAACCAAACCCCACTCCTGTTAGCACTTTTCTAGCTCATCCATTATCCACAGAATTATTAAGTAGTTTCCAGATGCAGCAACTTACAGTAATAGAGGCAACGCAGGAGCCAAAAAAACCAGTTTGGTTTTCAGATCCCAGGGCGAACATGCATGTTTGGCAAAGGTTTTTATTTGTAAACTGTGCAAATTTTATATGGAAGTCAATGAAACAAAGTTGGAAACTCTTAATGTTGTTTTTAGTCACTTTTAAGACTATAGCATACTTTAAGTAAACAGACAAAATACATTGCAGATGTGACATTTTCTCTCTCCTCTCCCTCATTTCCTAACTTCACTCATCTAAAACCTGAGGTTAATTGTAGAAAAAGCATTGTGCTCCACGGCATGCAATTTCTGATGCTAGTACATCATCCTGAGCTGAGGTGCACATTAAGAATTCTTGGCCATCATTTCCAGCTGCCATATTTATTTCTACAGCTGTCACAAAGCAAAATTTAAAGATTTCCTTATACATCTAGGAACCTGAAGAAGTTTCCATGTCTACATGAGACAGTTTTAAAGAGCTTTAGAAGCCTCATGGAAAGCACTGAAAGCATCCTAATTTAAAGAAGCAAACTTAATTCGGATGTAGGTTTTCTGTAGTTCTCTTTTTTGCTACTAGGATTATTAAAAGCGTGACTGGTACCTGTTATAACCCAGATGAAATTAGAATCTTTTGTTAGTAGTACAGATTTCAGAAAAAATACAAACCACATCCCCTCCCTCTTCTGTCACAAACAAAGGAATCCACCTTCATCGGCTTTATAACGTACAGGAGTCAAATGAACTCTTGTTTTGTGTTAGTGTTTAAATTTGGAATTAATGTTTTCATGAAACCATTCTTAGCAATAAAATTAGAGAAAATATGTCAGAAATATAATTGCTTATAAAGAGAATGAGGATTCAGCTGCCGTTCAAAGTACTAATAAGCAGCTAAGCAAAATAAAGTTTGTTTTTTATTTCAGCATATTTCAGTATCATTGGATATTGTTTATTTAAATCGCTGAATCTATTTGAAAGACATAGTTTCAGAATTTGTTTTTAAATCTTTAGGGTAAAGAAAGGAAATACCTGTATCAGACATTTACTGACATCGCTAGCACAGAGAGCCTTATTGCAGCCCATTGATGGTGGAATCCATAATAAGAACAGCAGGATAGTTACTATAGGCACTGTGACGTACTGTGACCTCATGATTTCCTGCAGGCAGTCAATTTCTGGAACCTCCAATCAGCACTGAAATAAGAAAAAGCAACTGAAAATACTGTATTTGCTGGAGTAGAAGCCAAATCCTTTTTGTTTTTCTCATGTAATTCCTTTAAACCAACTTTAAGGGTTTGGCAAGGTGGAGTGATTTAAATCAAGTTGAAAATTGTGACATCAGTGTGAAGTTATGCTATTGCAACATTAAACTTTATAATAAATTAAAGTATAAATGTGTGGGTTTTCTTAATTGCCACTACTGATTAGGGAATCTTATTTAAATGTTGTAAATCTGCTGTATGCAAAAAAAAATGTTTTTTAAAGTATTAAAATTAAGGGCCTGATCCTGCAAACCCCCAAAACAGCTCTGTTACTTTACTCACACAAATACACTTAAAGTATGTACACAGGTGTACGGAGCATCAAGAGCTGAAATTGTTTTTTTATCAAAAACTTCTTAGTGGCATGAAATCTTTATCACTTCAAAACAAAACCACTTCAGTGTTAACAATAAGATGTTTAGACTTTCAATATATTAACAATACACACACGCCAATATTTCAAAAAAAAAAAAAAAAAAGAGCCTAAAGTTAGGCTCCTATACCTGTACCTTAAACACTTGAAGGTGGGATTTTTTAAAAGCACATAAGTGACTGAAGTCAATGAGACACATGCACCTAAAATTGGACGAATATAGCTTGGTCAAAGAATTTCAGCTTCCTTCATTTCTGGAAGTTCAGTATATCGGTAGATGATATGGTTGCAAATACAAGGTGTTTGACTTCATTATTTATGTTATTAAAATAGTTTATGGACCCCAATTATAAACCAGGACCCCATTCTGGTAGGCACTGTACAAATACATAATAAAAAGTCCCTGTCCCAAGGAACTTAGAATGAGCTTGTATTGTTCTTATGGTAAGGATGTTAATGAGGCCCTAGATTTGTCTTGTTCAGCATATACGAACCTTTTAGTAGAAAAAAAAATTCTATGTAAACTAAAATTCTACTAGCAGTTAGGAAACTCATTAAAAAACAAGTACAACATATCCACTTGAGCAATTTAACACTATAAAATGGGAAGAAATTAAATAAATACCAATATGTAAATAAAAATTATTTAAATACAGAATATCATTTAAAATTAAGAGTTATTTTTTAAATAAAAAAAAAGTATTATTTGTATCCAATCAGAGTTTTGGGGGGATTCCCCAATTCAAGCCAGGGGCATATACAAAGAACAGAGGATCTTTCACACAATCAAGAGCCATTTAGTTTCACTGTTTAGTAGTTAATCAAACATACACAAAGCTTGATGTTCTATCATAAATTATAATCCTGATTTAACAATAAATATCTTAATCAAAAACAGCAGGAACTAAAATAAATATATGGTAAGTAAAAAAGTACTTATTTTATAAAGGAGAAGCTCTGATAGATTAGTGAATAAAGATATGTTTTAACACAGCACCAAATTGTTTCAATGCCATCAATCTGGATTTAGTCACTGTATATCAAAGGGCTTCCGAATACACAACTGGCTAGATGTCACTGATATGAATACACTGCAATGGAGTTATATTAATAATTTAATACAGATGTGTGTTGTGGGGTGAGTGGCTAACAATTTCCATGCTTCACTGCTTATTCTTAGTTGCCACTTACCCTTTCAATCTACATTTTCACTACACCCCATTCCCTGCTTGCCCTCAAACCTTTCTCACTGGCTGTCTTCATTCCTTACCTATATTCAGTTTCTGCCTGCTACCTATCCCTCTTGTTTAACCTTTCATAATTCAGTTGGCTCATTCCCAGTTACTCACATCCTAAACTGAACACTAAAGCTTGATTTGGAAGGTCAATTTTAAGTCTGGCTTAACTAACACTAGTTACTCACCTTGTATCTACACTATGAAAAGTGGTCAACACCTTTAGCTCGATTTCAGGTGATTGAGTTAGCTAAGTTCATCCGAAATGTCCATTTTTTCTAATCTAAACAAAAGAACCATGACACAGGGGAGAAAAATACCCCTGAAAGGTCCACCATGAGTACTGGCGATTAACTCCCTTTCCCTGCACAAACATCTGGTACTGCTGTCCAAGAGGCTGCTACGGCAGCAAAGGAGTAGATCACTCTCTTTCCATGGGTCTGGATCAACATGTGATTGGTAGGAATGATGTGGAGAAATGAGGAGCAAGGTAGTTGAACTGTAATCTCTTTGGGACAACCTCTTTTTGTTCTGTGTTTGTACAGCACCTAGCACAATCAGGACCTGGTCCATGACCAGAGAGCCTAAGTGCTACAATAATATAAGGTCACTAGGGCCCTGGTACAGCAGAGCGCTCCCCTTCACTATCTACGTTGATCTTGCCCCTTGAAGTGGCTGAAAGGGTGGTGGTCTGTATTTCATATCATTTGGTTCCATACACAGAAATAAGGCTGAGGTCTCTGTTCCTCAGAGATTCATTTTGTCCTGGGTGGCTAGGTAGTTTTCAAGTGAATGACTATACAGAAACTACTCACAAATATATCTGATGCCAACTTGAACTTGATCTCCCGAACAACATGAAATATGCATAAAAGGTTGGAGGGTTTTTTGGTTTTTTTTGCAATTCAACCATTTCCCCCTAAACATTTGTCTACGAACTCATGTGCTAACTGCTCACAAAACACTTTGAATTGACTTAATACTCCACGGAGAACACTCCGAGCTCACCCACACCCTGCCCTTCTAACCGAGTCACCATTTTCCTACCAAAGATGGCCCTGGCACAGGCCTCCCGGGGCTGGCGACAGAGAGGGAAAACAAGCCCAAACCGTTTTAGTTTGCTTCTGATAGTTTCCCAACCTTCTCTGGGGCAGGGGTGCCGGAACAATGCGTACGGCGGGGATGCGGAGAGCCTTTGCACCAACCTGTAAACCCCCGCATATGATGGAAACTGCGGGGCGAGGTTCGGGGGAGGCAGCCGCACCACCCACAGCCACAGGCAGAGCCAAGAAACAGCAGCAACTCCCCGGCCCATCCCCACCCCCCTTTCCCGGGAGCGTGTGCCAGGCGGCGTTTCGGGGCCGGGCCGGGCCGGGCCGGGCGTGTTTCCAAAACGCCGTTAAAAGGCAGCCATGGCCTCCCCAGCGCAGACTAGCGCCCCCTGCCTGGGGGTGTCCAGCCTGTCTACAAAGGGGAGCAGTTCGCTTCGAATCAAAGCGGAGCGAGCCGGAGCTCCTGAAAGAGCCGCAGACGCGACGCCCACCCCGCAGCCTCGCTCCGCTCCCCCTTCCCGGCACCGGAGCCCCCCCGATCTCCTAGCCCGGCAGCCCCTCTCTCTGCGCGGCCCCTGGCGCCCCACCCGGCTCGCAGCAGCCCCCCTCCCCGCCGGCGGGTCTCTCACCCCAGGGCGTCGTGAGCTGGGCAGCCCCCCCTGTGCCTAGCGGCGGCTCGAGAGGCGGCGGCAGCGGCCGCGCTCGGCAGCCCGCGGCTTCCTTCGCCTCGGCCGCACGCAGCGAGGAGGCGGCCCGCGCGTCGCGCCGCTCACTCAGGGCCCGGCAGCGCCCCGCCTAGGGGCACCGTCAAGGGACAGGACCCTCCCCCGCTCTGCCTGGCGTGGGGGAGGGGCTGGCTCACCCCCCCGCACTCACTTGGGGGAAACCAGGATGCCCCCGCCCCGCGTGCCTGGCTCTGCCTGGGCCCCCTTGGTCCCATCCAAGGAGCCCCAAGGAGGGGATGGGCCTGCTCCACCTTCCTCACCGGCTCCAAACCGGGGCCATTTCGCGGGTGAGTTTTGCCCCAGTTGCCAGACTTTCCAAACGGGTCCCTGGGCGGCGCAGCCCCGGGGCACCGTCCACCTCCGCAGGAGACGGGGCCCCTGGGGGCCCAGACGTGGCAACAGCTCCACACTGGACTGACTCCCTGGTGGAAAATCACCTTGAACGCCCTGTGCCGCGCTGGTCGCCCCGTCTCAAAAGAATTGTACTGGAATTGGAAAAAGTACAGAGGAGGGCAAGAGCCGGGATTAAGGGTGTGGAACAGCTTGGGCCTGAGGAGAGATTAAACAGGCTGAGACTGTTCAGCTGAGAAAAGAGAGGTGGGAGGGGGAGATAGGATAGAAGTCTATAAAATCATGACTGATAGGAAGAATGTGACTAGGGGGTTACTTATCTGTAACAGGAGGCTCTTCAAGATGTGCGATCCCTGTTTGTATTCCACCCATGGGTGGGCACGCGCATCATACCCGAGTCCAGAAGTGTTTCTTTGCAGTAGCCGTACACCCACATGTGCATAGTGCATGCTCAAATCTGAGGGTATAATAGGTCTTGCATGTGGACATCTCTCCAGTGTCCCTCTTACTGTTGTGCAGTCCAGTCCACAGCAGGGGGGATGGAGGGTGGGGATTGGAATAGGAATTGGGACTACACAGCTCACAGAACCTCCAGTTGCAGGTAAGTAGTCTCCTCTTTTTCTTCAAGTCGTGGTCCCTATATGTACTCCGTGTGTGTGTGATTAGCGAGCAGTGATCAGTGCAGAGGTGGATGAGAGGATGCAATAGGAAGTGCAATCAGCAGTACAGCTTGGCCCACAACAGAGTTGGTAGCTGCTACTTGTGCGATGGCATTGTGGGATATGGACGGAGTGCCAAGCTGTTGCATGACAGATGGCCTGCCATGAGACGTCAGCAAGGCAGGCTGATGTAGCTGCTTGCGCTTGCATAGAGTGCACTGTAGCTCCCTCAGGCGGAGGCATATTGGATTGTGTGTAGCATTCACGGATCCACCCGGAGACCTATTTGGAGATTCACTGGGAGGAGAGGGTTTGGCCCTTGGATCAGTTGGCAATGGCCACAAATAATTTGGCAATGTGCAAAATGAGCGAGTCGTGTGGAGGTAGAATGCCTGTGCTCCGCGGATGTCTAGGGAGTGTAGAATCCTATCCACGTGGGAGGTGTGTGGTTTAGAGCAGAACACAGATAGGTAGATGCACTGATTTAGGTGGAACGTCAACACTACTTTTGGGAGGAATTTAGGGTGTAACCACAAGGAAAATTTATTCTTGTGGAACCCAGTGTAAGGGGGGGTTTGCCATCATGGCCGCCAGTTCACTGACCTGTCCAGCTGAGGTAATGGCTTCCAAGAATGTCACCTTTGTGAAGAGGTGGGAGAGGGAGCATGTTGCCAGTGGCTCAAAGGGTGGCTTTATGAGGGCAGAGAGAACGAGATTAAGGTCCCACAGGGGTGTGGGCTTGAGTACTGGCAGGAAAGTACTGAGTAAACCCTTAATGAAACGGATGGTGGTAGGGTTTGTAAAAACACAGAGGTGCTATCCATGGGGAGACAAAGAACCTGAGTGCTGCCAGATAGCTCTATAAGAGTCTAAGGGCAAGATTGAGAAGTTGTTGAGGATGATGGGTATAGATATAGCTCTCAGGGGATGGGGATGGCAGTGAAATGTCTCCTTTTAGCTCTGTAGCAGGCCCTGGTGGATGCCCTTCTCCTCTGGTTAAAGATGTGTTACACTGGGGTGGAGCATGCCCTGTCTATCCCTTAGCCGCATCCAAATACTAGGCCCAGCTTGGGATGTTGGACTTGGTCCCAATCTTGCATGAGGAGATCTGGGAGTGTTCAGAGGCAAAGTAGTGTGTGGATGGAGAGTCTGTGCAGATCTGTGAACCAGAATTGGCGGGGTCAGAATAGGGCTACAAGTATCACAGTGGCTTAGTCCAAGCGGATCTTGTGGGAGGAGGGGAAATGGAGGGGGGGGGGGAGGCATAGCGGAGGTTGCCTGTTCAGGGGAGGAAAAGGGAGTCGCCCTGTGAGTCTTCCCTTAAGGCTCCCCTGGAGCAATAAAGGGGCAGTTTGCAGTTCTCACGAGTGGCAAAGAGGCCCCACCACAGGGTACCCCATTTATGGAAGAGGTATCCGAGCATGGCATCATGTAACTCCCACTCTTGGTTGAGGTAGAGTGTCCTGCTGAGCACATTGGCTAGGGCATTTTCGGTACCTGGGTGGTATATGGTTTGGAGCATCAGCTGGTGCTTGATGCACCAGTTCCAAAGAGAGACAGACTCAGAACAGAGGGAGGGAGACTTAGCACCACCCTGCTTATTCATGTACACAACTGCTGTAGTGGTGGGACTGGATGAGAGAAAGAAATGCCTGGCACGTGAAACTGACTTCCTCAGAACAACGCTTCCTCAGCTCTCGTCCCCTAACGCCCCTACTCTACTTGCGCTATATTGATGACATCTTCATCATCTGGACCCATGGAAAAGAAGCCCTTGAGGAATTCCACCACGATTTCAACAATTTCCATCCCACCATCAACCTCAGCCTGGTCCAGTCCACACAAGAGATCCACTTCCTGGACACTACAGTGCTAATAAACGATGGTCACATAAACACACCCTATACCGGAAACCTACTGACCGCTATTCCTACCTACATGCCTCCAGCTTTCACCCTGACCACACCACACGATCCATCGTCTACAGCCAAGCTCTGCGATACAAACGCATTTGCTCCAACCCCTCAGACAGAGACAGACACCTACAAGATCTCTATCAAGCATTCTTACAACTACAATACCCACCTGGTGAAGTGAAGAAACAGATTGATAGACCCAGAAGAGTTCCCAGAAGTCACCTACAACAGGACAGGCCTAACAAAGAAAATAACAGAACGCCACTAGCCGTCACCTTCAGCCCCCAACTAAAACCCCTCCAACGCATTATTAAGGATCTACAACCTATCCTGAAGGATGACCCAACACTCTCACAAATCCTGGGAGACAGGCCAGTCCTTGCCTACAGACAGCCCCCCAACCTGAAGCAAATACTCACCAGCAACCACATACCACACAACAGAACCACTAACCCAGGAACCTATCCTTGCAACAAAGCCCGTTGCCAACTGTGCCCACATATCTATTCAGGGGAAACCATCACAGGGCCTAATAACATCAGCCACGCTATCAGAGGCTCGTTCACCTGCACATCCACCAATGTGATATATGCCATCATGTGCCAGCAATGCCCCTCTGCCATGTACATTGGTCAAACTGGACAGTCTCTACGTAAAAGAATAAAGGGACACAAATCAGATGTCAAGAATTATAACATTCATAAACCAGTCGGAGAACACTTCAATCTCTCTGGTCACGCGATTACAGACATGAAAGTTGCAATTCTTCAACAAAAAAACTTCAAATCCAGACTTCAGCAAGAAACTGTTGAATTGGAATTCATTTGCAAATTGGATACAATTAACTTAGGCTTGAATAGAGACTGGGAGTGGCTAAGTCATTATGCAAGGTAACCTATTTCCCCTTGTTTTTTCCTAACCTCCCCCCCCCCCCCCCCCGACTTTCTTGTTAAACCCTGGATTTGTGCTGGAAATGGCCCACCTTGATTATCATATACATTGTAAGGAGAGTGATCACTTTAGATAAGCTATTGCCAGCAGGACAGTGGGGTGGGGGGAGGTATATTTTTCAATGCTTTGTGTGTATAAAAGATCTTCTACACTTTCCACAATATGCATCCTATGAAGTGAGCTGTAGCTCACGAAAGCTTATGCTCAAATAAATTGGTTAGTCTCTAAGGTGCCACAAGTATTCCTTTTCTTTTTGCGAATACAGACTAACACGGCTGTTACTCTGAAACCTGACTTCCCACAGTTCTAGCATGTTTATATGCATCCTGGCTTCCCATGGCATTCACACCCCCTGGGCTGTGTGACCGTCTAGATGGGCTCCCCAACCTATGAGGGAGGCGTCCATTGTAATGGTAGTCTGTGTGGTGGGAGAGGTGAAGGGGGTACCAAATATGACCTTGGAAGGATCAGTCCATCATGTGAGGGAGGTGAACACTGTTCGGGCAATAAGGACCCTGGCCTCCATATGGTCCATGCTGACTCTGTAGATGGAGAGGAGCCCCATCTGGAAGCAGTGCATATGCAGACATGCATGCAGTGTATATGTTCAAGGACAGAGAGACAATGGTGGACCGTAGTGCATGGCTTGCAACGCAGACAACAATGGTAGCAATTCCGTCCATGCCCACATGCGCCCTACACAGCCTATTACTAATGCCAGCAGGAGGCCTCACATAGGCAGCACTGCTCTCAGCGACCTTGCTTCCCTTCCTCTGCCATGACCATCCTCTTTCACCAGCAGCCTCAGTTTTGATGCGATGGTCAAGACCCACGAACCTCCCCCGATGCCACCTGCAGAGCCTCATGTTGTCTTTGGGAGCTGTCTTGGCCTATTTGCCCACAATGTGGACTGTTGGGTACTGGAAATCATCTACCGTGGATACTCCATAGAATTTCTCTCATTTCCCCCTCACTCCTGGATACTCCCCTTCCCTTCAATGTGTTCTCAAACAAGAAGCAGACTCTCTTCTCCTAAAGGGAGCTATAGAGTAGATCCCACCTCCTAACATGGAATGAAACTTCTACTTCCCATTCTTCCTCATCCCTAAGAAGGACTGTCAAGGTTCCTCTCCCACTCTGAACTCTAGGGTACAGATGTGGGGACCTGCATGAAAAACCTCCTAAGCTTATCTTTACCAGCTTAGTCAAAATTCCCCCAAGGTACAAAATATTCCACCCTTTGTCCTTGGATTGGCCGCTACCACCACCAAACTAATACTGGTTACTGGGAAAGAGCTGTTTGGACAGGTCTTTCCCCCCAAAATACTTCCCAAAACCTTGCACTCCACTTCCTGGACAAGGTTTGGTAAAAAGCCTCACCAATTTGCCTAGGTGATTACAGACCCAGAC